TGCCCTATGCATCCGTGGGCACCAGGGACACCCCGCAAACCCCGAAGCTAACAACATGCAAGCACGGCACACGTTAAAGTGTTTGCTCGGCTGTAACTATTTTTGTAGATATTTGGAAACTAGTAGTCCGTGTTTGCAGTCCGTGATGATTGCGTTTCTCTTGAGAATCGGTACGCGAACGTCACACAGCCTAATTCTTTCATTCCCTTCCCCTCCCTGGTCTTCCTCCCCACGCCCTCTTCTGGTCCCCCTGCCATTTGCAAAAAACCTATCTCCAATATTTATTTATTTATTTGTTTATTTAGTTATTTATGGGGGGGGGGGTTGTTTTTGTTTTTGGTTCTGGGGATCGAACTCCAGTCCTTCCGCTTGCGAGGCAGGCAGGCGGTGGAACCATTGAGCTAAATCCCCGGCCCCTATTTATGTCTTTTAAAAAGACAGGGTCTCACTGTATAGTTCAGGCTGGACTTGAACTCACTATTTAGCCCAGGCTGCCTTTGAACTCACAGTGATCCTCCTGCTTCAGCCTCCCAAGTACTGGGATCATAGGCCTGTGACACCACACCTGGCCTATTATTTGTCTTTTATTTTGCTATTTATACTTTGGTTTTCTCACATGCTAAAGGAAACCATGCAATATTTAAGCTTGTCTCTGATTTATTTCACTTAACATTATGGCCTCAAGGTCCATCCATTTTCCTACAAATAATTCAAGTTCGTCTTTCTTTATGGCAGAGTAATACTCCATCATGTATAACTACCACAACCTCTTTATCCATTCATCTGTTGATGGACATATAGACTGTTTCCAAGATTTAGCTATGATAAATTGTGCTGCTATAAACATAGGTGTGCATGGGTCACTGTGATAGGATGTCTTTAACTCTTTTGGGTAGATATGTAGAAGGGGAACAGCTGGATCAGAGGGGATTTCTAGCTTTAGTTTTTTGAGGAAGCTCCATACTGGTATCCATAGTTGTACCAGTTTACATTCCCTCCAACAGTGTAGAAGGTTCCTTTTCCCCTGAAGCCTCACCATGGTTTGTTTTTACTGGTGATGGCCATTCTTTCTGGAATGAAATGGAATCTCAGTGTTATTTTAATTTGCATTTCTCTAATGGCCAGCGATGTTGAACATGTTTCCATGTGTTTCTTAACCATTCGTACTTCTCCTGAGAAGTGTCTCTTCATTTCAGTTACCCATTTTTTGATTGAATCCTTTATTTGAGGGGGTTTTGGTTTTTTTGAGTTCTTTATGTAGTCTAGATATGAGTCCTCTGTCCAAGGAATAGCTAGCAATTTTTTCCCCCATTCTGTAGATTGTCTCTTCACTCTGTTGATTGTTTCCTTTGGTGTGTAGGAGCTTTTAAATTTTATACTACTACTTGTTGATTCTTGATGTTATTTCTTGTTCAACTGGGATTCTGTTCAGAAAGTTCTTGCCTATGCCTTCAAGAATTTTACCTATTTAAAAAAAGAAATGAAAACAAAAGAGTTTTACCTGTTTTATCTTCCAGCGGATTCAGTGCTTCTGGTAAATTAAAAAAAAATTTTATCACTGAGTTTTGTCAGAAAGAGATATGGTTCACTTTTTCCTTGTGAATCAAACTTTATCCCATATGTATATAAAGAAAGCAAAAACATTCTATGTGTTTGGAAACTTAAATTTAAATCGTTCATGAGTTAAATAATAGCAAACTCTGGCAAGGCTGCAGGAGAAAGGGAACCTTCTACACTGTTGGTGGGAATGTAAACTGGTACAACTGTGGATATCAGCATGGAGATTCCTCGAAAAACTAAAGCCAAGTGCAAGGACCCAAGTTCGATCCCTGGTACCAAAAAAAAAAAACAAAACTAAAGCCAGAAATTCCCTTTGACCCAACTGTTGCCCTTCTAGGTATCTGGCCAAAAGAGCTAGACATCACATGGCAGTGATCATATTACAGCTTCTCAAGAAGCTGTTGCCACACAAGGTCTTTGAAGGAAATTGCCCAACCAACTCTATTGTGTTCACCAAGTTAACACCATTTATCCTTGGAGCCTTGACTGCTCTGTACGAGCACAAGATCTTCGTCCAGGGCATCATCTGGGACATCAACAGCTTTGCCAGTGATGCAGGGACCACTCATGACTCTTCCACCAATGGGTTGATCAACTTCATCAAACAGCGGCGGGAGGCCAGAGCTGAATAAATACAGTGCAACCCCCCCCCAAGAAAAGTCTCCCAGTATTTTGTACCCATCCTCCCCCAAGGAACCCCCCCTCCTCATCAAGACAAATAAATGGTTTGGAGACCACACCAAAAAAGAAAAATCATTCATCAATAGATGAATGGGTAAAGAAAATATGGGAATAACACATAATGGGGATTGCACTGCCATAAAGATAAATGAGTCATTCGTAGGAAATGGATGCACCTGGAGGCCATGATGTTAAGCGAACTGAATGAGACACACAAGCTTAATACCATATGGTATTAACTCAAAGTATAAATACAGAGCTAAATAAAGATAGACAATAGGAAGTAGGGAGATAATGCTTTCTTAAACGGAAAAGGGATCAAAGGGGGAGGGAGGAGGGAGAGAGGCAAAAGAGATGAAAAAGGGACCAGGGATTTAGCTCAGTGGTGCTGCCCCCTGCCTTGCAAGCACAAGGACCCGAGTTCAATCCCCGGTACCAAAAAAAAAAACTTAAGAAGAAATTATAATGGAAATGTAAAAATATTTAGAACCTAACAGTGATGAACCCTCACCTTGCTAAACTTACGGGAGACGCTGAAGACACTGAAACACTATCTGCAGAGAAGTATGTAGCCATGTCTGTGTGTGCGTGCGTGTGTGTGTGTGTGTGTGTGTGTGTTAGGAAGAAAGCACCTCATGCCTAACCCAACAAACTAGAAAAAGAGCATCAGAATAAACCCAGAGAAAATGGAAGAGAATGACAAAAATAACAGCAGGATTTCATTAGCACCAACCCAGAGAATCAACAAAACCAGTTATTTCTTCAAAAATAAAGACAAACTGGGCAGGGGATTTAGCTCAGTGGTTCTGCCGCCTGCCTCGCAGCGCAAGGACCCAAGTTCAATCCCCAGTACCAAATAAATAAATAAATAAATAAATAAAGACAAACATAAAATTCCGATGCTGTTACTTATGGTGGGGGAAAGCATATAAATTTTTGGAATCAAAAGAGATGCACTGCAGATATGATAGAGGCTAAAACAATAAAAACACTTTGAAACCATTTTATACCAATAAATGTGAAACCTGAGGAGAAATCTACAGTTTTCTGGGAAAGCACAGCCTACGGAAGTCACTCGGGGCTCAGGGCACACACACCCTCACCCTGGACCCGGCCAGCAGACTCCCCAGGCCCCAGAGACCTCAGAAATTTTCTCCCCAAATGCAAAGGTAAAAAACAAGGGAAAACTCCCCAACCCAGGAGACACTAGAGCCAGATGGATCCTAGCTCCCATTCCAGAGAGGGCCCTGCCATCAGCACCACTGTGGACACGTCTGCCACTCCCTAAGTAACGTGGGTCCCACAGCTCAGTGTGGACAGTGGAGGTCCCAGCCCCATGTGGGGGTCACGGGCACAGAGTGGGCCACGGCCGGGCAGGGGCTGGTGTCTCTAAGGTGACTGAGGCGGCAGGTGGCCGGTGGTTCACTGTACACAGGGGGACTGAGAAAATCAATACATAGAAGAATGACAGGATGCAAACGGGGCGTGGTGGCACACGCCTGTCATCCCAGCCCTCTGGGAGACTGAGGCAGGAGAATCACAGCTCAAGGCCCACCCAGTAGGCTGGACGATTTAACAGTTTAACAAGACTGTGTCTCAAAATTTTAGAAAGAAAGTAAGGGCTAGGGGCATAGCTCAGCGCAAAAGCCCTGAGTTCAACCCCCAGGACTGTAAAAGTAAATAAACAACTAGCTAGGGCTGGCCTTGGCTCAGTGTTAAGAGCCCCTGGGCTCAATCCCCAGGACTGGGAAAATGAGTGGAAAGCTGTCATTCATAGAGTATCAATTAAAGAACAAATAAATAGAGGAGGAAGAGAGGGTTCTTCTTTACCGCACACTAATAGACAGGGAGAAGCTGTTGTTACACTGTTGCCATTGGTCACCATCGTGTTCATCGTTCAGACAACAAACATCAACATCCAGGTGTGGTGGCCACGGAGGGGTGAGCTCATGGGGGAGCTGGGGGCCACGACACAGCAGGGGGCTCAAGAAGGGCCCGTGACTGTCTCTCCCTAGTCCCTGCTTGCGTGAGGCTCTGCCACAGCGATGTCGCTGGCCCGCATACCCAGCAGGATATGGGCGAAATGACTGGAGGCCAGGTGCAGGCTGCGGACACACTGACATGGTGGCTGCTGCTGGCTCCCTCTAGGGTCATCCGGGAGAAGCCAGCTGCCAGGCTGGGAGCCCCTCTGCAGCGCCCCAGAGAAGCCAGGCGGAGAGAGACAGTGGCCTCCTGCCAGCAGCCGATGCGGGAGGGCCACAGGGGCCTGCGAGGGAGGAGGCCAGGGTGACTGTGGGACCCCATCCTCACCCTCCGGCCCGCATGGTGACCCGGACCTCCTGAGAAGCCCTGCACCTGCACCGCCTGCCAGCCCGGGGGCTCCTGGGTTTGCGATGTGAAAGGGTCCAGACGTCTGCGACCCGCTGTGTTTGGTGGCAGGAAACATGCAGGAGTATGAGCCCAGGCAGGAAGGGGTTCCAGTCTCTCCCCGCACATCTTCCCGACACTCCACCGCCTTCCCACTGAGCCAGGCTCCCGGACTCCAGGGCCCTATCTAGGGTCCCCTCCCGGGGATGGGCGCAGGGCCCACCCGAGTTCATGGGAGGGGCCAGAGCTGGCATCAGAGGATCACACATAGAGGCGGGCCCCATTTTGTGTATTTATTTAATGGTACTTGAGACTGAACTCAAGGTATTTGCTCTGAGCTACATTTCTAGGCTTTTCTTTTTTCTTTCTTTCTCTTTTTTAGGCAAGGTCTCATTAAGTCACTAAATTGCCCATGAGAAACTCAAGCTTGCAGTCCTCCTGCCTCAGCCTCCCAGAGCACAGGGATTACAGATGTGGTCCCCCACCCTTGCCTTTGCTTCCACTGATGATGCCTATGCCAGGCACTGTGCCTAGTTCTGAAGACCCTGAATCCTACAAAACCCAGTTCCCAAAGGCCTCACAGCATCACTTCCACCACATTCCCCAGCCCCACCCAAGACCGAATCCCAAATCCGCGGTGGGTGGATCCTACGGAGCCTCGTGTGGCAATCTCCCTGCGGGTTCTGATGTGCATCACTTGGAAATCGTGATTCTCCAGTTTTGAAAGACAGCCAGCTGGGGCAAATGGACTCATTCTGCACAGGAAGAAGAAAGGATCCTGTCGGGGGGCAGCACAGTGTGGGCCCCTTGCCTCTGTCATTCCTACAGGGGCTGAGCCCTGGGCCATGCGGCCAGGCCGGGGTGGACTTAAGGCTCAAGAGCATTTTCATTCTAACAGTTTCAAAGGTCAGTTGTAGGTAGGTTTTATTTTTCCAAAAGGGATTCCATGTGATTTATTGCATAACCACTTCTTTCACTGATAGGGAAATGGCAGCTTTTATCATTTACCCAACCCACCTATCTATTTAGGTGGTCATTCCTCTGCCGGTGGAATATTTTGTTGTGCTTTTGCATTAGGATCATATTATGTAGCTGTCTTCAGAAAGATCTCGCTTTCAGAAGGCTCAAAATAGTATCGTGAGTTTTCCAGGGTTAGCCATGCCCGAGACAATGCACAGCCTCTCCCCCAGGCCCACGCAGGCCCAGGCCCAAACGAGGGTTCAGAGCTCCAAAAGGGAGCAAGAGCCATTTGGGGTGCGAATGCCCAGCCTGGGACTGGCTTCATGGACAGGGCATGTTGTCCCCAGCTCCAGAGGGGCCCTGCCCCATAAGAGGGGGTGCGGCCGGCCTCCGGGGAGCCCTCTGGGTGATGCATCCGTCCCAGCCACTGCACCCACTCAGCAGGCACACTTGGGGTGCCCCAAGGCCTCAGAGGGGACCCGAGGGAGGGCAGGGTCTGACCCACAGCCTTGGCCTCTGGGATCTCCCAGACTCCTGGGGTGCACACCCCGAGGCATGTGGGGGGGGGCACCTGTGGCCTCTTCTCAGGAGAGAGGGACCAGGTAGGCAGGGCTCCCCTGGCATCCGGCCTCCTTAGTGCCTGTCCCAGTGCCTTGGGCTCCCCACGTGTGTGCTGGGGACTGGGGGAGTCTGTCTTGTGAGAGAATTTTCTTGTCCTGAGGACTTTTTTTTTTTCACAGTCTCCTTCTTCTGGGAGGTCTCTGGAGTCCTGGTTTCGAACTCCCTGCGTGGCTCTCTCCCCTCTCTCCAACCCCCATGAACTTTCTGTCTGCTCTTGTTGCTATCTGGAACATCGCTCCTGCCCTTCTCCGGCTCCCAAGTGTTTTATGCAATCTGGAGCAAAGTAGAAGAGGAAGCAGGGGGAGTGGGAGGGGAGCGGAGGGGAGGGGCAGACAGGGGCGGGGGCAGGGAAGCAACCTGTCTCCAGGTCTTTTCTGCTGCGGCCTGGCCTTCTGTACCTCACTTTGCGCTCACGCAGAGCATGCGTCCCCGGCCCCTAACTGCAGCTGCAACACATCTTTCAATGTCTGTAGGACACATGATGGGCTGTGTGAGTTGAGAAACGAAGTGTTGGTTGGTAGTTGTGTGAGGCCTTGTTTCATTCCCCAGCTTTAAACACACACACACAAACACACGCTCGCACACCTGCGTGTGCACACCAGGTGAGTTATATGCCCAGTGACACACTGCTGCTCTGGCTGAGGTCGATCTCGTCAGCACAGTGCCTGTGTCTTGGATTCTAACAGGATGAGCGGGGAGCAGGGAGCTTCCAGGCCCCTCCGCTTCTGACCCGGGCCCTTTCTGTGTCACTTCCCCTCAGCCTCACCATGTAATTGAAAGACGAAGCACAGAGTCATTTCATTAACGCGCTCTGACCCCAGCCAGCCTGGGAGTAGCAGGGGAGGGATGCAGAGCGGGGCCTCATGGTCCTGTCGGCTGCAGCCACACAGACAGTTGCTTCAGTGTTTGGTGCCTCCGTCTCCTCTCTCTCCTTAACAGACCGTGCAGACACCGCAACATAAGACGACACAGACTTATACTCTGATGGGTCTGCAGAGCGTGAGTCTCAAATGTGCACCGGGCTCCACGGCTCCATGGTAGAGCATGTGCTTGGCATTTGGAGGCCCTGGGCTCCCTCCACCCAGCAAAAAGACAAAGAGGCCTGCACTCCTGAGGAGGCTTTAGGGAAGAATGCAGCATTTTGCCTTTTCTGACTCCTAGTCTAGTGCGCTCCTTAGCTTGTGCTTTTCAGTCTTCAAAGCCATCAGCAATCTCTGCTCCCACTGCCGCATCTCTTCCTGACTCTGGCCTCCTGCCTTGATCCTGTAAGGACCCTGTGATGACGCTGGGCCCTCGGGATACCCCACAGTCATCTCCCCACCTCAAATCCTCAGTCGCCTCTGCCGGGTCCCTTCCCGTGTGGGGCAGATGTAACCATGGGTTGCAGGGGTTTGGCCGTGGACATCTCTTGGTGACAATCACTGTGCCAAGCACACTTGCAGGACAACTGCAGAATTCCGTCTTGCAGAATAATAACCGAAAGCAGTTTTAATGCCTTCATAGGCCTTAATTCCATTGGCTTCATTCCAAAGCAAAACCCATTTATCAGGCAAAACTGGGTTTATTACACCTCCTGCAGCAAAGGAGAGCATCTTGTCAACAGAGATTCGCATTGGAGGAATCGGGAATGGTATTTACAGGCCTGGGTGAGCTATGACAGCGGGTCTTTACGGTAGGAAACTGGGTGGGATTGGACCACCGAGGCAGACTGGGGAGAAAGGAAGATTATCTAATGGGGCCGGGATTTCTTGGAGCAGGCAGCCAAGTAACTTTTACCTGGTCACAGTTGCTTCACACAGGCATTGTGCTGAGTCTATTCCTCGCTAATTACGATAATAATTCTCCCCCCCCCACCCCCCGGTCGATCCTACAAGCCAGGCAACTTGAATACAGTTGGGCAATTAGATGGCCACGAAGGGTAGATGTTTCCACTTACCCTCCCCACGGCATAATTACTCTTCTCTTGGATTTTGAAGTCAGAAAGTCCTGGGCGAACGTCCCGCCTCCTCTCCAGTGCAGCTGTGTGCACTCGGGGCAGGCTCCACGTCTTCATCTTTATCAGGCAGTCTGATATCTGTGCCTCTGAGCCACACTCAGCCAGGTTCTGACGGCAAGGCTGTGGCTGTTGTCACTCAGTGTTCACGAGAGGTAGCTGTCTTTCTCCAGGATTCACTGCTCAGAGAGCACAATTCTCTAAGTTAAAGTTGCATAGCAGAGAAAGGGGACCTCGCATGCACTGTTGGTAGGGTGTAAACCAGGTCAGCGATGATGTAAAACAGTATGGAGATACCTAACAAAGGTAGAAAGAGCCAGGAATGGTGGCCTCCAACTCTACTACCAGCACTCTGCAGGCTGAGGCAGGAGGACTGTGGGTGCCAGACCAGCCTGGGGTACACAGTGAGATCCTGTCTCAAAAACAAAAACAGAAACAGAATTGCCATATGATCCTGCAATCCTCTTGCTGGCTATAAAGCCAAAGGAAGGGAAATCAGTGTGTCAAGAGGACCCCCCCCCCCCGCCCCGCGTGAGTGTTTACTGCAGCAGTATTCAAAACACCAAGATAAGGAATTCACCTAAGTGCCCAGCAGTGTATGTATGGACAAACAAAATGGGTATGTATAGGTTGTGGAATATTATTCAGCCAGAAAAAGGAATGAAATCCTGTCATTTGTGGCAATACGCATGAGTTGGGAGGAAATTGTGATAAATGAAATAAATCAGGCACAGAAAGACAAAAACCATGCTCTCACTTAGATGCAGTAGTTGAAAAATTGATCTCATTAAAAAAAGAGTTGAACAGTGGTTACCAGAGGCTGAGAAGGAAGGTGGGGAATGAGAGAAGGTGGTTTCCAGGTCCAGAGGTATAGTGAATTGGAGGAATAACTTCCTTTTTTTAAAAGCAGGAATAACTTCTAATGTTTTATAGCACAGAACGGTAACTATGGTTGATGACAATTAATTACATATTTCGAAATAGCTGGTAAGAGGGTTTTGAATGTTCCCAATAAAAAAAAAGATAAATATTTGAAGTGATGGATATGCCAGTTATCCCGATCTGATGACCACACACTGTTACCGGAGTGAAAGAGCACACTCTGGGGATACCCCAGCGCCACACGGGCGCACACGCACACACACACTGCACCCCACAAATAGAAATATGAACAATTATTGTGCATCCATGTTGCTTTTTAAATAAAGCTACCTATGAGGCAATGCATTATTTCTTCTGCCTGGAGTAGTTTCCCCACCCCAGCACAATGTCAGGCTCTGTGTGTGTGTGTGTGTGTGTGTGTGTGTGTGTGTGTGTGTTGCTGGGGATTGAACCCAGTGCCTTCTGAGCTACATCCCCGGCCATTTCTGTATTTATTATTTGTTTATTTAGTCAGGGTTTCACTTGCTAAGTTGCCCAGACTGGGCTCAAACTTGGGAGCCTCCTGCCTCAGCCTCCCAGTGTGCTGGGATCATAGGCCTTAGCCACTATGCTTCTCTGAGGCTCCACCACTGCCGCCAGGCTTTCACTCAGCATCAGAGAACCTGCTTCTGCAGGGCCCACATCCTCATCGCCACCATTGCGAAGGACTCAGACTGCAAACCCTGGAGGGCAGAGGAGCAGGGCTTGTGTGCCGTCACCTGCCTCAGTGACCATTCGCCTTCCACAGTTGGGCAGAGCCAGGAATCAGGGGAAGCCGTACTCTCCCTCCAAGCCCCTGAGGGTGACATAGAGGGGCTGCAGCCTGGCCACAGGGGCAAGCAGGAATCCCCCCTGTAATTACCAATCAGATGGGATTAAATATCGCTACCCTGAATATATTTACATGTTTAGAAAAAAGTGACCTACTGTCCTGGTATTAAAGCTTCAATCTCTATGGGATGGTTTTGTCTTAGAGACAGAGCCTTTCTGCGCAACCAGGCTGGCCTTAAACTCTTGGTGATGCTCCTGCCTCAGCTTCCCAAGTGAGTAAAAGAGTTTTTAACAAGATTTGAAATCTAGCCAAGCATGGTAACACACGTCTGTGATCCCAGCACTCTGGGAGGTTGAAGCAGAACTGTAAATGGGAGCCCAGCCTGGGGAATTTAGCAACGTGGTGAGACCCTGATTCAACATAAAAAACTTCCAAAAGGGCTGGAGATGTAGCTCGCTGCAAAGGCCCGAGTTCAGTTCCCAGTACCCCTCCTCCAGCAGAAGCAAAAGATTTGAAATCTGCGTGGACCCCATGACTCAGCAGTGACAGTTCCTGGAACCTCATCTTGGCAAACATGAGCTGCACAGGTGGACACGACAGGTGTCCGCAGTCACAGGATGCTCTTTATCTCGGTGTAGAAGCAGGAAAAACTGGACAAACTTCAGGTTGCTGCCTCTCCCGTAGGGGGCTGGACCAGATCCCAGAGAACAGGGCGAATATTCTCATTAGGAAGCTGCTCCTGGACCCAGAATGGCTGGGCCTGACCAAGGCAGAGAAATGCCAAGGACTTCAACCTGTCACCTCCTCGCTACAGCAAACAGGATAGTTCCAAATTGCTCAGGTCTTTTCAGGAAACGCCCACGTAGGGCATTAAAACAAACCAAAGTAGGACCAAAAGGTAACAGCTTTGAGTGTAGCTTTTCAGGCGCATACAATTCCATTGTAAGTAAATGGTGGTGGTAATAGTTCGGCCTTCAGTTCCATTGTTTGTCTGAAATAGGCAGCGGCAGAAATCCTTTCAAATTTCACCTTAACACCTCTCCTCCCTAAAACCCAGAAAACTCAACCTCCACACCCTTCCCAATGAGGCCAAAGGGGAAACTGATCAAATGCTCTCAGCCTGGGCCTGCGGAGTTTCAAGGAGGCTCATCCTTCGGGCCTGGGCTCCTCCTGCCACTGTGCATCCAGGCCTCTACCCCTGAGACCCTGAGATTCCGCCAAAGTCTCCCCAGGGCTGAGAGCGGCTCAGTGGCAGAGCACTCGCCTAGTACTCCCAGTCCACACACAGACACACATACACACACACACACACACACACACACACACACACACACATATGCACGCACACACTCCGGTCTCGAGCCCCAAATGTCCCCTGGAAGACAAATTGTTCTCTAGACCATTGGACCAGAGGGACCCATACTGGGTTTCCTTGGAGTCTTCCCGGTGGGCATTCCTTGAGCAGCAGAAGTTGCTAACCTCTTTCGTTCTCAGGTAGACCACAGGGTCACCCTGGCTGTGCCCCTTTTCCCTAGAAAAATCTACTTATGCTCTGCTCAGCACCAGGCCTGAGACAGGACCTCAACACCAAACTCTTCCTGGAGACTTCAGCAGATGTAGCTGACCCTAAACTGCCACTTCCGGAGATCTGGGCCCCACTGTTCTCATTTCCATGGTCCATTTGTGCTTTTCAACTTCTCTTCGAGGCTGAAGTAAATTGGGAAGCTTCCAGAAATGAACAAAGCATTGTAAGGCATTTGAAAGAAGTTCTGAAAGATAACTAGCTATTCCTGGAATGTTCCATTTGAGCACACAATTGGAGGGGAGGTTGCCCCTCAGGTCTATGGAGTTCGGAGATGGAGGTAAACTGAGGCAGTCAGCAGCAAACCTGTGGAACAAGTCCTGACCCTTCAGCAGCCCTTACCCCATGGTGGAGGACAGCAGTGTCCACAGACGACAAACAAAACCCTCCAGGTCTTGGTGGCTCCCGTTCCTTGTAACAGTGCTCTGGGTCCCACACTCATGCCCTGACTGGCCCCTTTGCCTTGGTCCCAGCATCCTCCCATGCTCTGCGTTGGACCCCTTGACTTCTCGGGTGCTTTCAGGGCGGCGGATGCTCAGGGATGCTGGGCTATTGTCAGATTTGTTCACGCTCAATCCAATTTTCGAATGCAAAAGGATAACTGGGCAAAGACTAAGGGGTCAAGGCCTCCCTGGGCCTTGGTGGATCTGGTGGCCACACCTTGCGTGGACCCCACACCTGCTCCCAGGGGCCCCGTTGACCAAGCCCCTCCAAGGCCCGGCCATCAGAAGCACACAGCCCTTGGACACAGTGTAGGGGGTCCTCCTGGCTCCTCAAGCACCCTCCACCAGGTCCCAAGAGGTCCGCTGAGAATGCCATTTCCATCTTAGGTGTGTGGAAACTGAGACACACAGCCGTTAGGAAACTACTCATGATGAAGACGGACTGAACCCTGGGCCGGTGCTCTGGACTGGCTCCCCAGTGAGGCAGGTGGGGTGCAGCTGACTGCCTCGGTCAAGGTGGACTCTTGTTGGCCTGGCACCCAGAGATCTCAGGGGTGGCATGGATGGAGGGAAGGCAGGGGGCGCCACATGGGCTGCTCTCCTGAGGTCCTCGTCTCAGCAAAGGCTGGGACCACTCGGGAGCTCCAGGCAGCTGCTGGCCCCCAGGCTGGCACTGCTGCCTTTGATGCCAGAGTCCCTGCCAGGCTCCAGCCCTGACCTCTGCCTTGTGCAATTACACAGGGAGTGTGAATGCACACACTTTACCTGTTATCTCAACTTTGCCTCAATTGTACATCCTCTGTGTATCAGTAGTGGTTATCCCAATTTTTGGCCAACAAGTCAAGCAATCAGACTGGGGAAAGGAAACGCAGCCAACTTCATGGCAGGTTGATAAATGGCATGAGGTGTCTGTTCGCATTAGTGGAGACCGAATTGACGACTCACAGCGTGACATTTGGAGTGGGGGTGTTGCTCAGTTAGAGGTCTAGGCCCATGATTCCATCCCCAGCACCCCACAAACTACCTACAGATAGAAGGAAAAAAATGACCTGAGGGCCGGGGATTTAGCTCAGTGGTTCCGGCGCCTGCCTCGCAAGCGCAAGGTCCCAAGTTCGATCCCCGGTACCAAAAAAAAAAAAAAAAAAGAAAAAAGAAAAAATGACCTGAATTGAACATTTTTAAAAAAGTGATACCTCTTTCTTTGGTCCCGAAGACAGGGCAAAGAAGTAAACATAAACCATGAGCCCATGGTAGACAAAGAGGAGACAGAGGAGAACCAAAGGCTGGGGCCGGGAAAGAGGAGCCTGATGCATTTGCTGACAGACACGCAAACAAAACTTGGAAAGGAGCTGTCCTTCTGCTGACTGCCGCTCTTGCCTCCTGCGAGGAGACTGCTCTGAATTGGAGTTTTCCCTTCCCTTTTATGTTTTTATTCTTTATTTCCTATGGAGGTACTGATAT